CACCAATATATATATATATATATATATATATCCATATATACGCTTGTGTGCAGACATGCATACCGGAATAGTCTTGCCAGCCTTTGTCACTCCTTCACATGTGCCGCCTTGTTGTAGCGCCAATCCCTGCACCATTCCGAGTGATCGTTTGACTCTCTCCCATTCGGCTGTGCGTGTGAGCGTTCCTCTCAGCAACGTATTGGCGTTCAATTGCAGAGCTTCCTGTTATGAGAAACAATATATCAAGAAAAAAAGTTATTACGTATACATACAAATAGTTGTACTACGTATATACTAACAAATCCTTTTATTCCTGTATGTACACAAACCCACATAATACTCCTCCATGTCACAGATAAGTAGCGTCGTGCATAGGGTGTATGCATAGTTGTCCACTCCTAATAGTATACACCATAACAGGGTTGCAGACACTCGTAATAGTTTACACCATAACAGGGTTACAGACGCTCCTTATAGTATATGCCATAAGCAGTAGTAAATATAGATCAGCATGCTTGCCGTGTGTGGCCAAACATCCTGCAGGCAGTCACATCGCACGATTGGATAGATCCCTCAATGTCCACCACAACCATTCCGCCATACGACTAACATACATCATCGTACCAGCACTACGTCAATAAAGGCACTACCAGCAGGGCTACAGACCCTCCTAATAGTATATACCAAAACAGGGTTACAGACACTCCCTATAGTATATGCCATAAGCAATAGTAAATATAGGTCACCTTATTTGTCTCGTGTAGCCGAACATCCTGCGGGCAGTAACATTGCACGATTGGATGGATCCCTCAATGTCCACCACAACCATTCCGCCATACGACTAACACACATCATCATACCAGCACTACGTCAATACAGGCATTACCAGCAGGGTTACAGACACTCCTTATAGCATACACCCTAAGCAGTAGTAAATATAGATAAGCATACTTGTCTCGTGTAGCCAAACATTCTGCAGGCAGTCACATTGCACGATTGGATGGATCCCTCAATGTCCACCACAACCATTCCATCGTACGACGAATCGAAGATATCCATCGTACGCTGAGTTTTCTTCTCCAATTCCTATGGTTTAGAGATGTGGGGTTTTAGAGGTTTTGGGTTTTAGGGTTTAGGGTTAACGGTTCTGAGTTTTGGATTTCTAGGGTTACTAGGGGTTCTAGAGTGTAAAGAACCTCTTTCAGTCTATTCTCAGTAAGTATCACACCGACTCTATGGACAGGACACCGAATCTTACATACAGGCACACACGGATTGGATGGCCACGTGTTAGTTCGCTCATCCATTCAATTGTTTAGCTACGCATATACACCTACGACATGTGCCCACACTTGCACTCATGAGACGAGTATGCTATATGCGTAGCATGCGGATTAAGGTGTAGGGTTTCAGGGTTTTGGGCTTGGGTATAAATAGACGCATGCTTGCTGCACCGTCCTTGGATAACCGACATCAAGGACAGAATCTACAAACGTCCCTATACAGACACAAATACAGGCGAATAGTACGCTCACACACAAACAAACATACTTCCTGCATCTTCTCCAGACATAAATACAGACGAATAGTACGCTCACACACAAACAAACATACTTCCTGCATCTTCTCCAGGTGAGTGAGATCACGTATGAAGCCCACAAACGTCCGCTCTCTGTCTAGACCGGCAATCTCACTCACAGTCAGGCTCATAGCGAATAGCGACCCGTCCTTACGCTTTCCAACCAGTTTGCGCGAGTTACCAACGGCTCTACCCTTCGCATACTCACCACTGTGGAGGTATCGGTCCACGTAGTGCTGGTGAATACGACCTGAGAAGTGGGGTTTTGGCGTGAGTACTCTATTATGTACATACATACATATATTTATTTATATATAT